GTTAAATTTCCTTTTTAGTTTTAGTCATATTTAGTTACCTTCATCCTGTTTTTATTTAGTCAAGTTTTAGTCGACTAAAAGTCTGAGCATTTTAGTCAAAGAAAACTAATTATTTTAGTCTACTTGTTGTCAATGAAAACTGTTTTTTTAGTCATCAGATTATATAGAACATTTCAGTCAAACTAGTCTAGCCAAAACCAATAATTTGTCATTTTAGTATATATAAATAAATAAGATTATATCTTGTCCTTATTTGATGAAAAACACAGGTTGGATGATTAAGAATGCAGCTTTGCAGAGAGTATCTGGTCAGGTTTGCGGTGTTTTTACCAGCTGTGTTATGGCCACATTTCTTCCCTTCTGATGAAACAATGCATTCGCTTTTTTTCTCCGCCTTATTGTAGCGAAAATGGGCCCAAATGTCACATTGTTTCTTTCTCCCAAGCAGTGGTGGCTTTAGACTTTTTCGTTGTCAGTCATTTTGACGGACAGGATCGTAACATTTCCGTCATAATCCATTATTACCCGTCGAGTGCACAATTTATCACTCACTCGCGCTGATGGGGGGGATATTCGGTTAACGCAAGTGCGACCACTGCTCCCAAGCCCTGTTGTTGCCATTTTATTTTCTGTTAAATAAGGTTAGTTAGACCATGAGTTAGACCCGAGTCTTCTTGACAGTTCACAGTGTGCCGCTGCCCGGTGTAATTCAAATGTACCGCCGCACCCAGCACAGACACACAGCTGCTGCCCTGCCGCAGCACCGGAAATGGAACTGCTGGGAGAAAAATGACTATCAGAAATGTAACGTTATCTTTGATAATATTTCGTCTCCTAATTTTTCGTCAACGAAAGTAAAGAGAGATTTTGGCATAGTTTTTATTTAGTAAACTACATTTTCTAGGGGTGCACCGAATGGGAAATTCTTGGCCGAAACCGATACCGAAAATAGGAAACAGTTGGCCGAAAACCGAATGCCGAAAGGCCGAAAATGATTAATAGAAATATGTATACATTTTTTACCAATGTTGTTCAGCTACCTGATTATGGAAAAAGACATGATTATGGCAAAACTTAACTTAAATAATAATCACTATTATGGGTCCATAAAACATTTATTCAGCACTTTTGAATGCATACAGTACATTAATCCAAGTCAAGTGCATTTTCTTTTCTCTGTAGGATAACTACAACAAAGTGCATTCAGAACAAAGCCAAGGTGTTTTAAAACTGCATAAACATCTAGACCAGTAGGCATACAACAAAATAGTGTAAATAAAGACTGTAACAGCCAGGCCTTCAACAACAACAAATGCACCTATAAGTGCATGCATACAAATGTGCAAACTGGATACATCCACATGAATGTAACTATTTACAAATGAAATTACAATTCAATTTCAAGAATCTGTAAATAAGGCTGTCTGTCCTCATAAGCAAAGTAGTAAACATTGTAGAAAGATACATAAAGTGAAAACTGGATACAAAATTCACAATCAATTACAAATTAAATTACAATTTCAAGAATCTGCAAATAAGGTGGTCTGTCCTCATGAGCAATGTAAACAACATTGTATCATTTAGATACCGAAAGTACAATATATTGAACACTGTGCTGCTGTCATTTCCCCCTAATGATAACCTGAGATGGTGAATTATAACTCACAATGAAAATTGTTCAGGAAAGTGGGTATAGAGTAGGCATGTAGAACTAGATAAGCTTATGATAAGCCAGCCTTGTCTACTTATTAAGGAAAAGTGGGAGGTTCTTTTTAATGAACATTAGCTTCTCTGATTTATCAGCCATAAGTCTGTTCCTCTTCTCATCAAGCACATGAGAGGCAGCGCTGAACAGTCTCTCGCTGTCAGTGCTTGTGATTTGATCTTACTCCGCATATTTGTCCGGGTGTTTTGATTTCAAGTGGTGGAGTAATCCCGAAGTGGTGAAAGTCTTTGCAGTTACACCCCCTCGAGAAATGTCAGCTGAACACGTTTTACAAATCGCAATCCGCGCCTCTTTCTCTGATATTTTTAAATATCTCCAAGCGCCAGACATGTTGGCTGTGAGCCAGCCGCGAGCATGGTCGCCGCCGTGCTTGTCGCCGCGTTTTGATTACGTCATCACAACAACACGTTAGCTTACCAACGTAACCCTGTTCTCTGACATTCGGTGATATTTTTTCGGTGCTAGAACCCTTTCGGCCGAAAGGGCCTTTTTAACCATTTTCGGCCGATAATTTTCGGCGGCTGAATATTCGGTGCATCCCTAACATTTTCGTCTCGTCACTTTTCGTCAACGATATTGCATGATGACTTCATTGCAGTTATTGTTTACTGCCGTCGGTGCCGTCTCGTCATCGTCTCGTTTTCGTCATGGAAAAAAAGGTCGTTGACGAACATATTTCGTAATAGTTTTAGTCAACGAAATTAACACTAATGCACAGTAAAGCCTTTCCAACATTGAGGTAAAAAAATACAGCTCAAGCGTTTGGGGGTGGAAGGGTAACTAAAAGAAACTAAAAGAAAATGGGGAAAATATGTAATTGACAATGCATCACTCACCTGAGGGGATGTCCACTGCACATTCCATTGTGCTGCTGCCCCTGGTTTTCTCAAAGGCTCTCTTAATATCACTGCCGTGCTTGACCCTCACTCAGCACTGGAAACAAAAAGGTTTAAAACTTAAGCAAAAGATAATGCAGCTCCAACATAAAAAGATGTATGTAATATATATTCAATAGTCACGTTAGTAAAAAAATACAAGTAACCACATGCTCCTTACATTAACTACTAAAAGGGTTGTTCAGTCTGCTTTAACCACGCCAAGGCAAGCCAAACAGGGACAATATATAGCAGGCAAAGTGGAAGATGAATTAAGACTCTTCTACAAAATAAATAACAAAAACTTAACATTACATCTTCATGAAGGTAGGATTTATCACAGGTCAGTTGTTTTAAACTTCTGTTTTATATGACCCCTTTAGAAGTTCCTTACAAACATTGATATCAACACCATCTAATTAATGTGATATTTAATTTTCAGCCACATACCATTGACCAATAAAACAATTGGCAAAATAGGGAAGCTTGCCTCTGAACACAAAACCCAAACCCTAGTGCTTTTTAATCATACAGTATGTCTCAGCACAAATATCAAAGATCGTAATACAAATGGTAAGATAAAAGATTAGCTGATTAGACTTTGCTTTTGATTTCACGGTTATGTTAACACAGTTTTCAGTTAGTTTCCAGCAAACTATTTCGAGAGATTACAATGTGCGAAACCAATCTTTACAATGCACAAGGATTTGCGGTTACCAAGTCAAAATACATGCCTAAAAAAAAAAAATCCAAACCTACTCCGAAACCACATTCAAAGTTGACTGAGATATCACATAAGATATGTTATTGAATAACATTCATATACTGTTGGCCTTACATCTATTCTCGCGGAGCCGGACCTATCCACAAAGCGCTGTGTCTGCTGAAAGACTATCATGTGAATACGGATAATAATATAATAATTTACTCTTGAAAAAACACATTTTAACGAAAGCCTGCGCGCTTCACTCAAATATGTACGTTAGTTTCCTTTAATATAGAATTAATACATTAGCCCTGCTTAGTTGCGATCAGGTTACGATACAAACATGTGAGAAGCACTGCTACTCACACACAGTAGCGAAGAAGCCACATACTCACAATTCCCTGAAATCACGTAAGATATGTATTTGCAGAATCAAATTACTTAAGTTACATACACAAAAACCGCTACACTCACATTTTAAGTAGCGAACATGTTAGCTTATGTAGCCAAACATCCAGGTGCCGAGCGATACCGCTTCAGTTAATGCTAAAGCTAACGTTAGCCATCAAAGGTAACGTTTAGAAATGCTATGTTACATTTCAAGTAACGTCTGATAACATTAAGTTAGCCCATTTGTTCTCGATACAGTATGTCACAGTGTTTAGTTTAAATCTGAATGATATTACTACTTCGTTTTCTTGGGTCAAAGCTGCACGGATAATGGAAGCAAAAAGAAAAAAGTTTCAAGCAGCAGCAGACACTAACACGTTAGATAACGCTGATCACTGCCGGGCCTTCAAAGCCGTAAGTAGCGTTAACATCCATTCATAGATCAATGCAGCTGGATAAGGATAATAATGGCTGTGAATATGTCTTTATACACTGGTATTCCCTCAAACCTTAATTATATTGCACGCTTACCAAATGGACAAGCTGTTAATAGTACAACATGCTGCCTGCACGCCGCGGCCTAATCGGCGATCCACTCGCTCATCGCCATTACTACGTTAGCATGCTAGTAGCTATTCAACAAGCTAGTGTGCTAGGACTTTTAGCCACCTCTTGTTTCAACAAAGCAAGTTCGCTTGCTCATGAAAGTTGTATATTCTGTATCATATATTTACCCAGGTTGTTTTCGGTAGAAGTAGTTCCTGTGTATAAAATGCAGTACCGCAATGTGTAAAAAACAACAATGGTTGAATATGCTAACCGTTAACGTTAGCCTACAACCTTATCCACCATGATGGAAAAGGTATCCCGAAATGCCATGCTTCGTGGTTTGAATGGCGGCGTCACTCACTGTCGCCCTGACAACTACACGCTCCACGTTAGCTAACTGTAGAAAACGGTGGGCCTATAATGTCTACTTCTTGGTTTTGTCTTGATGTGCGTTATTGTTTATTCTTTTATATAATATACAGTGTCAAGAAAGTATATCCTATACATGGATGTAGCCTATATCTGGTTTTTGATGCACCATTTTGATATTTATATCATCTTTATGTGTTGCTGGTTTTGATACCCTGGTCCAGAAATACACATTATTTAACCAAGATGTATTTCTGATAGTTAAAATGACAAAAATAAACGTGATGAGATGGTTATAGCTTGTGCTAAGTTGTCTAGTCAGTTAATATTTGTGTGCTTTTATTCTGAAGGTATCTGATCGGAAGTGGTAATGTTGTTGTTGCAGCTCCGGTGTCAGTAGTTCTCAAAGCGAGAGGATAGTGGTTTGCGAGAATTGCATGAAATATACTTCAGTGGCATGCTTTAACCTATGGTGTTACCTAACAAACCATTAAGCAGCTAAAAAGCATGAAGAAGAGGTTTAACATCAACCTGGATGACTCTGCTTTCACCAAAGAAAGAACACCGGTCTGTATTTAACTACACTTAACTTTGTACAGCATCTAGAAATTAGCTAGCTAGTTGTTCATCTGTTAAATAACGTTACTTTTAGTACATTCCTTAAATTTTTTAATTGCTAAGCGAGTTAGCCACTCTGTTTTTTGCACGATTCATTCCATAATTCTCGAGCCTCTAACAGGATTTTTCATTTGTTTGTGTTCCAGCCAAAGCCGCAGTTTCAAGCTTCGTCTAAAGGAGGACAAAACAGCTCAGAATCAAATTCATGTTCAACAAATCCTGCCAATGAACCAGTGGACCAGCCTATTTCCTATGCAGATTATGTCGTCCAGAGTAAAAGCTGTGTAGCTGGTCCTCCTCAAAGAGTGGGTCCCTCCAAACTACTCCGGACTGAAGGAGATGGAGACAGCAATCAGAAGCAAAGTGACTCAGATTCAGTACGTTCTGCCCCAGGCTTATGTGAAACAGTTCAGGACCCTGCTAAAGGGACTGAAGATGGATCTGATGGGGTTGAGAATTGCGAGAAGACACAGGTGGATGATGGCACACACCAGGAAGAGGGGAATTGTCAAAGGTCATATCCAAGCCTAAACCTGGGGCCAAAACCAGTGGGGACTGGGAGCAGCATTATTGTCAGTCCCCGGCAGGTATGCATCAACATGTATGTGCCTCTTGGCTCAATGCAACATTATGTATTAGGTTTCTAAATGAAAACAGCAGCTCCTCGTCCATACATTCACCCTCTGCACTCATTCCCATACAGAGTCAAAAGGTTTACTCATAAATCATCAGTTTGTTGATACTGTGCCCATTAGTGTGGAAATATGACTGTTCTCCTGCTTGTTATTTGCTTGCTAAACAGTAAGTATCCCTCTGCATCTTTTTTTGATACCAATTCAGAGGGGAAATCCAATCCTGAAGTTTGTGAGGAGTGTCCCTTGGGAGTTTGGTGAGGCCGTACCAGACTATATCCTGGGCCAAACAACTTGTGCTCTCTTTCTCAGGTGTGTTTTTTTTTACCTCAAGAAGACTGTATGTGTGTGTCTGTATACTGTATGTGAGACTATTAAGAGTTGTTTGTGTAGAGGAGATATTCTTTTTTGAATTTATTGTGCAAAATACAACTTTTTTCATTTAAATGTTCTCTCTTGTTCTGTTTTGCTGAAACACTGATGCTGGGGCATCTTGAAGTCTGAGGTATCACAATCTCAATCCCAACTATATCCACGATCGTCTCAAGCTGCTTGGACAGACTTTCACCCTGCGAGTGTTGCTGGTTCAAGTAGATGTGGTAAGTACAAAGTGGTTTCGTGATCAAAACATTGACAAGTTATAATAATTCAGTCTGAATTTGTTAAGTTACAGCTAAAAGTGCTTTGCTTTGAGAAGAAAAAAGTTCTAACTTGTACTGGGCAATATTGATCTAAAGCTCTCTTGGGTATTTGACTACTTTGCCTCAGTTGAGTACTCCCTGTTCCTTTTGACTCAGTAAAATTATCTAACAGAATGTAATTCTAGTCTAAAGTTTTCAGAGTACTGTATTGAAGGAAATCACACATGTCAAATACTAGATGCTGTATAACAAAGAATAACAGATGTGTTTCAAAAACCTTCTCATTCTTTATACATAAATTCCATTAAAAAAGATTCAAGATTGCATTTGTGTTTTTCTCTCTGACATTGTTTTTTTATTACAGAAAGACCCTCATCATACGTTGAAGGAGCTGGCTCGCATATGCATCATGGCTGACTGCACTCTGATCTTGGCTTGGAGGTACAACCTGCAACAGATTTCTAATAGGACTGAACAGTAACATACATAGAGAAGAGTATAGTTGGAAACAGTTTTAAAATGCTTCTCTCAATAAGAAGATAAAGACTGATATTCTGATGTTTAATGTGTCATGAAATGCAATTTTAAGTTTGTAGGAGGTTCTAAACATTCTTTAAAACTTCATGGATCTAATTTTGTCATTTATAAGATATGTTTTATTATATTTTTTGGTTCGAACCAGGATCAACAGATCTCTATTTAATGTGCCTGCTTCTGTTGAGCAGGCAACACTGTGCCTCATAATACAATTAGAAAAGAATAAATAAACAAAGGTAATATTTGTGTTGTTTTGACAGTCCAGAGGAGGCTGGTCGTTACCTGGAAACCTACAAGTCATATGAAAAGAAACCAGCAGACTTACTGAAGGAGCAAGTTGAAAAAAACTATCTGTCACAGGTGTGTGGATTTAAGTCTTCACGTTAAAGAATGTGTAGTCCATTGCTATTTTTTTGTTGACAATCAAAAAAATACGGAGGACCTTACAGTGTTATGGACTGAACTGGATGCAGCCACGTAGATTGTTGAGGTCAATTCAATACAATTACAGTGGTGCACTTCTGATTTGATTGGTTTGTTTTAAGGTTACTGATTGCCTCACCACTGTGAAGTCCATAAACAAGACCGATGCCATTACCCTACTGTCCACTTTCTCAGTGAGTACCACTTCAGTGAACATTTCTCCTCAAATTGCTGCTACACTACAATCAGTGAATATGTACAGGCATATCCACAGGCTGATTTTATGGAGTACTCTAAATTCATCTTGTCCTTCTGGGATGATGTATTTTGTGATTTCTATCAGTCTGTAGAAGGAATCATCAGTGCATCTAAGGAAGACTTGGTTCTCTGTCCAGGCCTTGGACCCCAAAAAGTGAGTTAAAATACATGTGTGTGGTGGTATAAATATACAGCTGGCATAAGGAACATTTCTAAAAGTACCATGTTGGCATTTTGTGTTTTCAGGCAAGGCGACTCTATGATGTGCTGCATAAGCCCTTCCTCAAGTCAAAGACAAAAGACAGCTGAAACAAAGAGTGTGTGACATGCTCCTGGCAAGAACTCCTTAATGTTGGTTGTTGTGTTGAACAGCAAAAGAAAACACACACATTTCAGAAGACTGAATTAAATAAACACGCTTGATCTACTGAGGTGATGAGATAAAGTGCGAAATATTAAGCTGTTGGAGCTGCACACTGAATATATGCCGAATTAAGTCATGGATTTGTTCAATGTTGGTTCTTTTATTAAATGAAAATAAATATTTTTGTATACTGTTAACTGTGCCTTTTATTATTTCTTAGTTTCTTTGTTCTCAATGAGAAACAACAAGTGTGCTTAAATGTATTTTTTATCCACAAAAAGTAGGGAAAATAAATAATTGTGTATAGTATAAATTGAAATGTAACTTTGGTGGCAGGGTAAGGGCGAGCTCCTATACCTTCCGCTGACTGAAATTAATAACTAAAGTATACATTTGTATTTAAATGACTTAGGTGTTAATACTTTGAAAATTAAGAAGTGCACTAATGCTACTCAAAAAATAATAAAAAAGAGAAAAATAAAAGCAGTAGTAATTCTTTGTGAACCGTTCTCTTATATGTGCGAGAAGAAGAGTGTCAGAGTTTTTAACAATGAAGTGGTTTCTATCCCACCAATCCAGAGCGCATTGCTGCCTTCAGGTGCTCCTCTAAAATTCCGTTTCTATGGTTGGAAGTCACCATGATACGCTTTTACTTTGAAAGCTTCAGATGTTAATTAGCCTGAAGTAACAAGAGCATAGAGTGTTAGAATATAACTATTTTGTGACCAAATGAAGAAAATATTTGATGTGCATTATATGATGTTATAACCAGATCAAACACATGTCAGTATATTTTCGATTCGAGTAATGATAACAATGTGTCCGACAGCACCTGAAGGCACAGTAATTTAAACTGACGTCAAAACAGGAAGTGTTCATGCTGTTGAAGTGTTGTGATGATAATATTAACTGCTCATTTCACAAAAGTATTCAGTCTTAACTTATCGATGCACCGTGTGGCCTCGCAGCGGGGACAGTGACACGATGCTCGTGCACGCCAAGACTTCTTCAGAGTGGTGGTGGGCAGAGCTGCAGGGGATCGCAGGGTATGTCCCCGCCTGCTACCTGCGCCAGCTGCATGCTGCCTGCTGCTGAGGAAGAGGAGGAGGAGGACACCTCTCTGGAGGACCCATGGCAAGATGAGGAATACTTTGGCCGTTATGGGACCCTGGTTAGAAGCGTTCAAAGATCACACTGTTATGCATGTTATGCTATTTCAATTCAATTTAATACATCTTTATTGTGCCCGGATTACAATTATGGTACATTATAAAAACAGAGGAACATAATGTACACATGACCATAACATAAACGGGTCATTCCTAGCATTCGGTGCCATTTCAGCTAGGGTATTCAAAAATAAAGAACATAATTTTCCATGTTTTTTTTTTATTTAATCTGAATGATGGCTTGTTAAAGTATAAGAAAAATATTTTTTTTTTTTTTACCATCCCCAGTTACTGTGTGTGCACCCTGTTACTGTGACAAATAGTAACAGGGACGGTAACAGGGTGGACATTTTATGCTAAACTTGGCTATTGCTACATGTGTGATGATAATCAAGCTAGCACTTGGTGACAACAGAAACATATATTTGATAGATATATTCACCATATTTTCTAAATGTAAAACAAATGATCAGTTCCACTAAAAATGAGCATAACAGGGTGGACATTTTATGCTTTACCGCAATAGTTAAGTTCTTTAAAACATTAGAAAAACGTTGCAGGAAGAAGGAAATCACTCTGCTTCTTGAAGATTATTTCCCACTCAAAATGTATCCTTCTTGAGTCATACAAATAGTAGAATAGTAAAGGGGCGTGTCCAGAGGGATTCAAATCAGAGTAACAGGGGGGACATTCAAACAGGGGACACACACTTTATTTTCAATACAAATGAATTAATAACAACAATTTCAATTTGGTGAGGAATATTAGCAAAAGGGTCATACAATACTCACAAAAATGTAGAATTTGTTTGTATTTCTTTGATTTCTTTTTGTATATCTGTTACAGAAGTTGAGCAAACATGATTGGGGACACAGCAATTTGGCCTACTTGTGCTAAAATCAGAGTAATTATTTAGAATTTTTAATATCCTGGCTAAATAACATTGTTGTTTTATGGTAGAGGGTATAAACATTTAAAACCAAGCTTTAAAAAAATAAGCATTAGACCTTTTAAATATAAAATATATGATATAATGTGGTGGGGACCTAAATGGCACCGAATGCTAAGTCAACCACAACTGTACGGCAGCAACACATTCTATTATCGATAAGTACAAGCAAAAACAGCGTTTGCAATGTGCCATGAGTAAAATTGCATTTAGTACAAATTGCAAAAGTACCCTATAGGCCTACCTCCAACCTGAGGGCAGAAGGTGGAGAATCTGCTGCAAGATGTGAGATGGGTCAATATTTAAACATGTCATTATGGGCATATGGTGAGTTTAAGAACACATTCAGAGAGTTTCAAAAAATGAAGACATTCACAAACAATGTTGGAAGAACCCAGAATAGATATGTGAATTAGATGGAACATGCTGCTGTTCAGCTTTTGACTTACAAACCTTTGCCCATCAGATTTTCCTAAGATGAAATGCACAGAAAGTTTTATAGTGAGGACATTCTTAATAGTTCAATTTGATCCCTATACGTTGTTACTAAAATCACTTGTTACATGTTCCACATATTTAACTTGTCAAATCCACAAATCATACCACTAACTGTATTTTCTTATCACTTTTTATTTATTTTATTTTCTTATCCCACAGAGGCTTCACTCGGAGCTGCTGTCAGATAGAAGGCGCACTGAGGCGTACAGGCAGGTTATTCTCAGCAACAGCACTCCTCTGAGGAATAAGGTGGTGATGGACCTCGGCTGTGGGACTGGCATCATAAGCCTGTTCTGCGCTCAGCTGGCACGCCCCTCACAGGTAATGTAAACAGTAGTGCTAGTGGGGGGGGGTTACTTATGAAACAGACTGTGTAAAATGTCTTGAATTTTCCTTTAAGTATTAACAACTTGTTAGCTGGAAAAACAAAGGGTTTTGATAATAGACCACATTTGACACTTTAATATACATACATTTCATAATTGCATTATTGAATTTTTCCGAAAGTATATTTTAAAGCTCAAAGTATGTCTAAAATGTCAACAAAAGTACCTAAAAACAACCCATAGAAAGTTGGAAATATGAGAAATGTGGAAAGACAGAATCTCTGTATAGTGTACTATGCATTGGTGTACTTTTACTCCCATCTGCTGGACAAGGTGTATTGCTACATGGAACAAACCCCAGGGTGAGCAGTGTCTACTTTGGGATTTGTAGCTGTTTGATGTGGAGGCGAGCTCCATGGCCAAGTACACCAGACAGCTGGTGAAGCAGAACGGCTATGAGGAGGTGGTGACGGTGCTCCAGGGAGGAGCTGAGGACATCTACCAGAGCGGGTGGACATCCTGGTGTCTGAGTGGATGGGAAACTGCCTACTGGTAATAACACAACAAGGTATAATGGTAATATCTGTTCTACTTGGGCTGCTTTATTGAAGTTTTATTGAAGTTGTATTCAGATCCCATAATGCTCTTCCGCTCACAGTCCCACTAAGAGTTTAATATACCTCGTCCTGTGTTTGTTTCTCCGCCCTCTGGTCTAGTTTGAGTTCATGGTGGAGTCAGTTCTGCTGGCCAGGGACCACTGGCTTAAAGAAGGCGGCGTAATGTGGACCTCATCCGCAGCCCTCACCCTGGTGCCATGTCAGGCCAACAGCTATTACGCAGAGAAGATGGCCTTCTGGTAGCAGCCCTATGGACTGGACTGTACTCCTCTTCAGTAAGATACACTACTCAGCTGTAAAGTTTAATCGTTGAGTATAATAATCTGTGGTGCCAGATAGTGATGCTAGGGATCATGATGTGACAATCAGAATAGAAGCCACATCTATGGCAACCATCTTCAATGCAATAAAACTCAAATTAGTGTCACTTTCACTGTGAGCGGCACATTTTAATTTAAGTAAAGTGTATATCGGTCACAAAAGTACTACATTTTTTGAGAATACATTTGTTTGTATCGACTCTACATGCCACAATATTTTACTGTATGTCAAGCATATGGTGATCTGTTGATTCATTATTGTAAGCGCAGTTAACTTTAGTTCCCACCATGTACATTTCTACAATTATACACACAATTTGTACATAAAGCCCTCAATATGTACGCAGTAATTGTGTCTTCAAAATAGATCCAGTGTGACTGATCCACCAGCAGGCAGCTGGTCTCAGGCAGCAACTAACTGGCGTCTTTGTAAGTTGCCTCAAGTAGCCCGAAACATTTAAGTGGTCACTTTCCAACCACAATTAACGCTGACCTCTGATGCTAACTGGTATTTTTCCAGCATGAGAAGAAAAACAAGATAAGTTAAGCATAAGTTAATAAGTAAACTACAACTTTTGTATTACATAAGAGGATTCCTAAGATGTTTTCATTTCATTTCAAACCTTTATTTATCCAGGTGTATCCCTTGAGATCATTGATCTCTTTTTCAAGGGAGACCTCCTAGACCTGTTTTATTTTGTCTCTGTGTGTGGGTGGCTGTTTCCTGTTGTTTCAAATATGCACACGCCCCACATTTATAGTTACCATCAGGAATCGGTAGAATTCGTTTTTAAAGGATTTTACACCCTATTTGTAAACTTGCTTTGGGTTGCCAAAAGGTGTTGCTGATTTGACAATAATTGATTCCCCTTTTCTCTGAGGAAATGGCTCAAGGTTTTTAGTTCCTTCATGGGGTATGTTAGTGCAGAGCAATACTCCATGGAAAGTTACCAGAATAGTCAGGATGTGATTCAAACTGGAACATCCTCAAGCGACATCCTGGTACTAAAAAGGCCAAAATAATTTGGTGAATAAAGAATGGTGAATTGGAGTAAAGGTTTGCAATCAACACAATAAAACTGAATCGCTGAAGGGAATTATTGAGTCCAATCAGATCCGATGATCTCAAATAACATGAGATTATTTTTGTTCTGAAAGGTGTTGCAGGTGTTTTATACACTTTATTTCTCATTTAGAAGTTGCTACCAGTAGTAACTGTTGTGACATGAGCATGTTTATAATCTGTTACTGTTTACCAATGTTTGTAGACAAATGAGTACACACTTTAAATTACAATTAGTATGGTATACAGAGTCTAGTGTTGTTTACCTGTTTCTTAGTTATCTTATGACATGTGTTCAGAAATTCAATTTGTCCTTTGCCCTGTTTAGTTTCAATAGTCACCTCATCGACCCCAGCGACTGCCTCGCGGCTCCCTGTGATGCCCTGCTCCTGGACATGTACACTCTGGAGATCAAAGACCTGGAGGTGCTGGGTGTTTCTCTTTTATACAAAGAATTGCTCCACTCAAAACAGGCTGGATATGCTAACTGATAGAGCCATGTGTTTAATTTCTCAGGAAATAAAGGTGCAGTTTCATTTTGGTGTGGAAAAGTCTGATTTTCTTTCATGGATACATATTTAGCTACTACTTCTGAAATAGTGAAAACTAAAGCAAATGTATACAGACTGAAAAGTTGTGGCTCAAGCCTGTTCTATCGACACTTTTTAAAAATGATTTGAAATATTTCTCATATCTATCATGAAATTGAAAGAGACAAAGATGTGTGTATATCATGTTGTGTAGTTTTAATGTGGAGGATAGTTTATTCACTAACAGCAATGCTCCTGAGCCCTGAACAGTATTTTTAATAGCCCTTGACGCATAATTTAACTAATCAGAATTTGTCATTTGCAAAAATAAAAATACACCAAGCAATGTACACAACACCTATAGTATTTCTCTATGTGCAAATAATGTTGTTAAAATCTTAAAGTGTCACAAAAAGTCACAAACTTTAATGCATGACAGTATTAAGTTGTTTCTTTTCTTCAGGTCAACGCACTGGAAGCAGACTCTGTTCATGCTGGACCGGCCCGTCAGAATTTTGGAGGGAGACTCCATCGCTGGAACCATCGTCCTGCGCAGGAACCCCGTCTGGAGACGGCACATGACCATCACCCTGCACTGGAGTATTAACAGCAGCACGGGGGGAACGGAAAAGGGCCAGGCAAACATTTATTCTTCACTTTGAAATCTCTCTTTATTCATTAAACATGTCCATACATTGATGGTAGATTCTTTGATTCTCTTATACAACATTGTGGTTACATGTGTGACTCGTGCAAAGTGACTCATACATTAGAGTCCCCATAGTCCTATCTTGACTTTGACTTATAAATGGTGTTGTTAGAGATGTTCATTTGGGGGGTTTTTCTCTCCGTCCATAGGTTGGGAAAAATAGTTTCCCCATGTGGAGGTGACGGATTCTCTGCAAGTGTTGGAGATCTACAGGGAAAGAGTTTAAAACCTCTTGTGTTGAGTTCAGGGTCAGTAGGATATGAGCTGTGAGCTTCTGCTGATGGAATGAAGTGTGACGGTCAAAGGCCTGGGAACTACAGAACACCCATGTCAAAAGGGTAGATTAACAAAGAAGCTACATGCTACAAATGAACAGGAGCATTATTTTAACTTTATTCTATATATATATATATTAAAACCTATTTAAATATTGGGCTGAAGACAATGGTTGAAATCTGAAACAACAAACCGTTTTGAAAAGATTTGTGATCTCAGGTGCAAAAAGGAGAAGATTTTATGTTTAGGTTTACTCTTATGTGCATATTGTTTTACAATAGGCATTCAATTTACATGATTCTTACTTTAGTTCAAGTGTTTTACATGCCAAAAGGCTTGTACAGGTTCAAGAAACAGATTAACCATCATTTATAATGCTTTGAGATTAATCATTTTTGTACATTCGAAGATTAGAGTGAACATTGTATGCCACTTAAATTCTTAATTATCCTAATGAGCTAAAATAGGCATTACCATTTTTACCTAGAGATATTAAATAACATTTATTATTTTAAATAAAATGTCTGTTCAAAAAGTACACTAATGTTGATACAAATAAAATAACGTTTTGGGAATTATTGAATTTCAAATGTTGTGTTTGTCTCTTTCAGAACTTTCATGGCACATTTCTTTTTTGTCTGTGGATACAGTCTCATTGGTCATGGTTCTGTTTTACTCTTTGCTTTAGCTCTGGAGCGCGTGTTGACCTCTGAGGATAAAGGCTGAGTGGGTAAGGATTCAGGAGAAGGAGGCCTGGAGAGCGGGACAAACATGGGGGGTTTAACAACTTTGTCTTGAACCTCTGTTACCCCACTCTTAGCACGTTTCTGCCTCAAGTGTTTGTCACAGTGGTTGACAAACGTATCCAGCTTGACAAAGGTCTTGTTGCACACTTTGCAGTGATAAGGCCGCTGTCCTTTGTTGAGGCGTATGTGCAGCCTGATGTATGATGATCGTACAAAGGTGCGGCAGCAGACCCCACACTTCAGACCCTCGCTGCTACTCGGTGTCTGTGCCGGAGCTGGCGCTGGCACTGGCACTGGCACTGGTTTGACCTTTCCCAACGCTTCCTCAGCCTTGTGAGAGAGCAGGAGGGGCAGAGAGCGAAAACCGGCCCCACACTGCTCACACTTATACGGCCGCTCCCCTGTGTGTAGGCGAACATGAGCCAGGAGCCCAGCCTTCTGTGTGAACGACTTGTCACAGTAGGTGCACTTGAAGGGCTTCTCGCCTGTGTGGAGCCGCTGGTGGGTCTTCAGATGTGAGGCCCGGCCGAAGGTCTTGCCACACTCTGAGCATTTAAATGGCCGGTCCCCGCTGTGTATTATCTTGTGTGCCATCAGGTGGGAGGACTGATGGAAGTACTTGCCGCAGGTGCTACATCTGAATTTCCTCTCCTTGTTGTGGGATGCCAGGTGAAGGGTCAGGTGGGCGGAGGAGATGAATGTTTTGGAGCACAAGCTGCAGCTGTGAGGGTCCAGGCGGAGGTGGCGGTGTGGGCGCCGCCCGAGAGGGAGGCTGCTGCCTGCCTGGCAGGATGCACACTTGGAAGGAGGGGAGGAAGTGGAGGTTGTGTCAGAGTCCAGCTGTGGAAGGCTACATCGACAGTCAGAGCACTGCCCAGTCTGTTGGTCTTTAGCGCTGGTTTTATCCAACATTGTGCTATCTACAATACCACAGAGCGAGGGACATCTGAAAGGGATAAACACATTATGTTTATCGTGCTTTAAAGTGGTGTAGCTGAGGGTAGACATGCATAAAGTCTGTGTCTTATCAGCTTTATTGCCATAAAAAAATAAAAAAACATGACGATTATCATATTTTCTGTATCACTTCCCTGTTAATGACGCACGCTAGCTGACCGGATTACGAGTGTTGTTAAACTGTTCTAAAACTAATCGGCATGAAAATTGAAAACCAGAAACACCATGGATGTATAGAAATACACAAGCTTACTGAAGAACAGGCACTACAATGTAGGCCTGGCTTCGCCCTTAACAATGCGATGTTACGATGCGAATAATGGCACATAAACAAGGGATTTTACATACCGTGTTATTTCTTCTTAAGAAAACGGGCATTTGTTGAAAGAAATTATCCTTTAAGCGCAGTTAAGCACTGTAATTACGCCGTTAAATAAAGGCTGAGGGATAGCATTTTGAGCCATCCTTTTTCCTGCAAAGGGCTGTTTACCGGACACAGGGGCTGCAGCAACATCTAGCGTGCGGCGGAATAACTTGTATTGCGTCGCAGAGAAGGAGACATTAATGTAGGAGAGTCTGCACATCCCAAGTTAAAAAAATGAATTATGCCCGACAAATTATTGTTATGGTGATTCAACATTAAATCAGTGTGTGCAAAATGTACAACACCAAGTATCTGATGGGCATGTATTGTGTATTCCAAGTCAATATCAATGACGGGTAGATACTATCCTACAGTGACTTCCTCGTCCCTCAGAAAAGTTTCGTTTCATTGGGGAGTTCACAAGAAACTATCAGTGATTTGCACTGATGTTGCTGCCCTCTTAAGTTTCGATTCGTACAAAATGGCTTTTGACTTGTTTGGAAAACGAAAGACACACTGTATGTGCCGGGAAACGACGATTAGGGGTTGGACATCAGCAGCCTTTATAAATAGGAGAACTGATGAAACATAATTTATTTGACAAACTTGGCACAAGCTGAACCGAACGGACAACTCTTCAAATATGAATGAGGTAGGCCTACTGTTGTTTCCATTTAGATTTTTTAACTTTTGTGTTATTTTTATTAGCATCTGATTAAATAAAAGTATGTTTTAGGTTATACTGTTGAGGAAATCTAACAATTTTTATAGAGGACTATTTTGATACCAGTGAAATAAAAGGTTCTGATTTATAAAGATAAAAAAAAAGTAGAATGCTCATACTTCATTCACCATCCCTGTATGTATAATTAGGATTTGTTTTTTGCATTTTATTGGTTCATTTCCTGCTTTGGGGTTTGGCTTTATTCTTTGTGAGACAGCCGCCATATCCACCACAGAGATGCTGCAGGAACTCAGTTCAGAGGAGGCCCTAGTTTGATAAGCAGTTGGTATAAGCGCAGTCAAATTCAGGCCATTCATTCAGAAGCCTAACTTGAGAGTTATGCCTGATGTTGATTATCTTGAGAAATGTATGGAGTATTATCATTCTTCACTCTTTCACTCCTGCACCTGCTTGTTAGCCAGGCTGGTGTATTGTGGAGAAAATGTGTTTCATCCATGACCCTGAATCATAAACCACTGTACACTAGAAACGCTTTTAGCAACACATCTTGTAAGCCTTAACTTTACTTATGTCCAAAGTCCAGAGGCCCATGTAGGCAGTAGTTGCCTTTTATTTCTTTTTTATATTATACTGCAGCTTGACTCAGCAAAAGTAAACTGGTTAGTTGGCTAAATAAGACCGGACACCCCCCTTAAATCTAGGATTGGGTTGGTGTAGTAAAGACCTTAGGTTTTCAAGACAAGATCCATAAAACTGGTTTGTTAAAAGTCAGCTTAGTTTCACAAATTTTTCTGATAAATTAAATATTGTTAGATAACATTGACATAGCTCTCTTGTAGTGTCAGTTTCTGAAATAAAAGATCAATATGCCAATGCATCTGTAATTTGGGATATGACAGTACTTGTCTGAGCCACACCCTTAGTTTTGAAATGGACAAACAGATAAGTAAACACATGAGTAAACTATAAATACAATAAATAAATAAAATAATACATATTGAATAAAGATGTATGTATTTGTATAATGTAAAGGATCAGGGTACGCATAAATCTGCGAGAGAAGGTAAAGTTGAAAAAACAAATTATTTACAAAAAGTGTTGGCAGCTTATTCCTTAAAACAGAAGTCTCAGATTGCTGCTCAGTCTGGTTGGCGAGCAGCAACCAGATTCATTTTTTAAAATATATATATTTAAGAAGTACAATATATGACAAGGGGCCATTATACTTTTAGAATTTGTTTAGTTTTTGACTTTTATGTTATTTATGCAGTTGGTCCCCGGTCCGTAGTTTGAACATCCCTGGTCTAGGGACTCTCTTCATCTCCTAACTTTAAGATGATACAAATTAAATAAATACATAACAAAAACCTTTGGGTGATTATGTATTGCTACTAGCCAGTCCATATTTGAGTGCAGGGGAGATACAAAAAATTGCTCTACTTAAAAAAGGGGAGTTTAGGTAAAGTGGCTCATCTAAACAGCCGTTTGGTTTTACACAAATGGGAGAGTCCAATCATCCACTCCACTAAGGAAGGTGTGATTCGGCAGCTCACTCTTTTGCCAGGAGGAGGTGAGCTGAAGGAAACTGACAGGAGTTTTGTAGCGTCCCCGGCTGAATGATGGTAACTGTTTATTGGACACCCTTGCTTGTATACAATCATTACCAACGTAAGAGCTATAACATTAAAGAAAATACAATAATTATTAATTGTCTCACGGATAACATGTTTTCCATTCCTTGCATTTGTTAACCTATGAAAACTAAATAATGCAATTACCTACTGACAATAAATCATTAAACATTACCTTTTAACCCTTTTTAACTGAACTTGACCAGAATAAGCATTAATTAATTTGTAGCGTGTTATTTTAAATCACACATATGCAGTTTTAACCCATATGAACTACTGGAGTTACTCTTTATAAGCTCCGTTGTAACAAATAGCTCACTACTGCCCCCTAACTAACGAAGCGGAACACATTACACACAAAACTCTGCAAAACTACAAAATAACACCACATAATATCAATCAACATATAAAATAAAGTAATAAAAAACCTAGTGCCCTTCTCAGCCAGGTGCTAAATACCCAATGTAACTAATTATTATATGTTAATTTCTCCGTCATCTATCAGTCATTTTCATTATTCATGTGTGACAAGTGTTTACACTGCTCCGTTGACCATTAAGTTCCGGTAAAAGTCCCTTCAAAATAAGAGTCCCGATTTTATTACTACCAAAATAAAAGTGCAACACGAGAACTTTATCATAGGAAAATATTAGCATTGAAAGATAATCACTTATATAAAAAGGTAACACATTTAAAATATAGTTAGACATATTAAAGGTAATTTACAAGTTTGGTTAACATTTAACACATTTTATTACATTCCTTAGTTGAATACTCGATTCTGATTGGTCAATTCAGAAAACGTGACACGTTGTTAATCCAGAACAGACAGACCGCTGTCAAGCACTTATTGACCGTTGTTAAGGAAGCTCACATCTGCACAAACAAGTCCGTTCGATTTAACTATAGTTTGGCCGAAAAGCAAACTGCATGCCGGTCTAGATCCCTCCGCTTGGCGTCGGGCTCCTGGTCAGCCTGTCGGTGTTCTTTTCCCCATAATGACCGCGTCGCTGCACATTATCCCTTACATACCTTATACATACATACACCTTATACATTTGACAAGATTGCGTGCACTCAATCTAGCAAAAATAAAGTTTGTTCTAAAAGGTGTCTGTGCTAATTTGTGATTTAAAAAAATAACAAAACCTTCACACCTACTTTCGCTTGTGTTGTGTTACCATAACTGTTTAAAAAACAACTGAGGTGCACTAAAACAAGACACTAACATTCTACCAATGACATTGAAAACCCTAGAAGTACCTGTATGAAGCATGAAACAAAAGCAATGTGTCATTATGTATCTGCTGATTGGTGTGCAATGGGTTTGAGGTCAACACAACTCAACAGAGTTGAGATTGTAGCCTACTATAGAAAACTAAAGTATGTGCAGAGGAGCTTGTGACATTTCTAATATGTGTGCCAGCAGGTGTGGTCATCACATATGAATAAAAAGTGACGTTTTTTCCTGCAAGCTAATGCAACATTTTTTTAATCTCTTACAGAATCTTTGCCAGGAGGGATGAGTTTGAATACTAAGAAAAAAAGTCGGTGAGTTTCAACTGTCTCTTAACCCGCAGCCCAGGGAGTGCCCTGATCTGTTTTTTGGAGTGTTTTATTTATTTATTTATTTATTTAAAAGGGACAGTGCACATTAANTCCATCAGACAGAGTGCTGCTGTGCCTCCTGTCATCATGAACGGACGTCTCTTTAAAATGACCGCTCAGAGGAGAGGAGTTCTCATTTCTCTAACCGCCTGCTGCTTCCCCTCCTCTCTCCTCGGTTCCCCTCCTCGGCTCCTCCGCTCGCATCTCCTGTGGGCGGGACTAAGTCTCGAGGAGTAGGGAGTCGAGGAGGGGAGTTAGAGAAATGAGAAAGGGCCATAGTGTTGAGGCTTCTAATGAAAAGGTGTAATACTCAAATGTAAGTCCTGCTCAGCTCCCCCTTTGGAGTCTTTAAGTTATGCTTGTTTTCATGTGGGTTTCCTCCCATAGTCCAGTGTGGTTCACCAAAGAGGATGTGTGTCAAGTATCTTTTTCTCATTACCACTCAATTCCTCTTTTGCATCACACATGTTGCCACTTGTTTGTACCATTTTCAGGCGATTTGTAAACTGTTCTTGAAAAACGATGTGATTTTGGATATTTGTGGAGTTAGGTGGTCTGCGAGTGTTTTTTTATTGGTTAAGTGGTCCTTGGTATGAAAAAGTTTGAGAAACACTGCTGTAGATTATGCCAACGGCATGCGTTGCCATGGCAATGCCTTCTGACCTGACTGTGGTCATGTAACTCACCGACCTCATCCCAAATGTGAACAATTCTACATTTCGCTATCCAGATAATACTCTACATTTTACAATCGTCTAATTACACACACATTTACAAAATCATAAATTGATAAGAATTGCACACGAATGAACATCCAAATATAAACATTTCTCAGACCGTTACAGGCAGTTTCTGCATTTTATGTTACCTGTAATATATACAGTAAACAGTAGTCACCACATTAAACTAAACACCACAACATTACTATATTACTGAAATCAATCAAAGGTTCTCAATTTGACATTGAGGGCACTGTAAAAGCAGAAACACATGTTTACACCCTGAGCCTTTCCTATATTTCTAGCCCATTTAATATATGCATGGATAGCATCCAAAACAAGCAATTATAGAGACCGAAGAAAATTAAAGAACATGCACAAATGCTCTGATCCAATGTTTAAAATCTCATTTGTTTGTGTTTTTCTTCAAAGGTCCTGCTCTCTATGCATACAACAATGCAGCCTTCACTGATGAGGACTGGGAGGGAATTCAGATGGCAGGGAGGAGTGTGAAGCGCAATGACCCAAACAAAGTTGGGAGGTTTGGAATCGGCTTCAACTCTGTTTACCACATAACAGGTAAAACTACAGAAAGATACAGATTGTCTCAGTTTAAGTTTTAGTTCTTTGAGAAAATGCAGAGTTACTAAATATGACAATGTTGATCCACTTTCTTCACAGATGTGCCCAGTATATTCAGTTCAAATCACCTCGGCATGATGGACCCCCAGGAAAAAATATTTGGACAAAGAAATAGCGGTTTTTTGTGGTCTTTGGATGATGCAGAACACCAGGAAGCTCTAATAGAGATGCATGACCAGTTCCAACCTTTTCGAGATATAGTTTCGCTTGTTGGCAGAAAAGAATGGTCAACAGTAATCAACGAGGATCAACACTTTGACGGGACAATTTTCAGGTTCCCTTTGCGCAAAGAGGCATCAGATATTTCAGATAATCTCTATGACTCTGACAGGGTGGTTGAGCTTTTTGATAGCTTCATTGCGGATGCAGATTTAAGTCTCCTGTTCCTGAAAAATGTGACCTCTGTTTCCTTGATACATATCAACATCTATGGCACCGTTAAAACCAGGCTTGAAGTGAAATCCTCAATCTCCACAGATGTCGTTCTGGAGTCAGAAGACGATTCAATCATTGAGAGTTCAACAAGATTCAAAGTAATAACCCTCAACTCAGAAGACCACAAAGAAACAAAATGGCTTTTAACAACATGTACCATGAAAGAAGGAAATGTAGAACATCTTGATTCACTTGCGAAAAAGTTGAGCTTTTTCCCTCAAGTTGACTTGGCATTCCCTTGTGGTGAGAAGAGAGACAGTAGTGAGAGCAGATTGAGCTGCTTTCTCCCCCTACCAAACAATGAATCCAATAAAACCGGACTCCCAGTTTATATCAACGCGTGCTTTGGCCTCACAGACAACAGAAGAGAGATCAAGTGGCAAGAGGAAGACCAGCAACATGACGAACATGCGGTGTGGAATGAATTGCTGATGAAGGAGGTGCTACCACAGGCATACATCATGATCATTCAAGATGCTATCAACCTTGCACAACAAGATAATCTGCCTGTCTCTTCAGTGTACGATCTGTGGCCAGATATTGCCCAGATAAAGCACAAACGCAAATGGTATGCCGTTGCTCTGGATGTTCTTGATCACTTATTCAGGCAGAAGGTTGCTGTCCTCTCTCTTGCCAAAGATGAAAGAAAGTTTATCACTCCATCAGAAGCTGTGTTCCCCTGTAATGGTCCAACAAGCAGTGACATATTGGCGGCAATTAAAAGGACTTTGGTTTCCTGTGGAGAAAATCTTGTCACCTTACCAGGCAGTGTTGCAAGTGCTATAAATGAGGCCTATCCACACCTAGACACCCTAAAACACGTGACTCCAGCTTTCATAAGGGGCTCGCTCCGCAGGATTGACGTGCACACTATCTCTAAACATGACAAACTCTGCCTTTTGGAGTTCATTCTAAGTGATGAAAAATACAGAGAACTGGAAGGTCTTCAGCTGCTTCCGCTCAACGATGGCTCCTTCAGATCGTTCACAGACAAAGAGGAGGACACTGCTTTGATTGACAGCAATGAATTTCCAAGGTAGGTTTATTTTATTTTTAGATGTTTTTTCTCTTTTATTTACTACTACATCTATACTAAGTTTAAATGTTGCCCAAATCCAATCTACAGTACAGATTGGTAAAAACAATACAATTGTATTTATTGGAAAATATATTGAAGGCTTCTCAACTTAAATGATATACAAACGTCTTTGTTTTTGTTACATGCCTATTCAACAAATGTATCCTTTGTCCAGAGTCTTGCTACCATTCTGCAAACACCTCTTCATCCCCGATGATCTCCGTCCAGCCTGCAGTGCCCACCTGAAAAAACTGGCAAGAGAAAGTAAGAGAAATCATTTTATAGTATAGCGATTTAAAAATGCATAACATCTGTCATATGTATGTATTCACTCACTAATGAATGTATTTTAACCAATTTTCCAGATATTTTCAAGGTCATCAACATTGATGAAAAACGGGTGGCTGAATATACAAAGAGGTTTTTGCCACAGGACTGGAAGCAGATGAGCAAGGGGCATGTTACCTGGGATGTCAGCAACAATCAACATCCACCTTTAGAGTGGCTCCAAGAGTTCTGGACATTTCTCAACACTCACTTCAAAGAGTTAAGTAATTTCATTGGATTGCCATTGATACCAGTCAGTCCCCTGTCAGTCAGTCAGCCAGTATCACTAGCTACACTAGAGCAGAAGACAACCTTAATTTTTCAGAAAAGAAAGCAGGTGAACTTGCCAGAAAAAATAACTGAGTTGGTGAACAAACTTGGTGGCACAGCGGTAAGAGAAAACGACTGGCTCAAACACGAAGACCTTGACTCATATGTGCTGTGCCCATCTCCAATGAGTGTCATGAAAGTATTGGTGAACCTAGATTCTCAGAATCTCATCAGAGATCTAAAAAATTCCTCTCACGGAGCACGAGAAGAACTGAAAGATTATCTCTCTCGTCTTGATTGTCTCTCAGTCACTGAGAAAGATTTACTCTCAAAGTTGCCTCTGTTTCAAACCATGAATGGATCATGTGTTGCAGCTCAATCAAAACAGGCTGTGTTTCTGATGTCTGGTCTAAAAGTACCAACAGATTTCCCTATGCCTGATTCAGTTGTGCGGTGTGCAACAGAGGCTGATCGCAGACTGTTACAGCTGCTCAAAGTTAAACTTTTGAACACTGCTGAAGCAGCTCATCTCCTTATTGACTGTATTGAGAGCAGGGCTTGCAGAAGAGAAGACACTGAGAAAATCATGACTTGGATTTTACAGAATGGAGCTATCCTTTTCTCTCAAAATCAGACCTTGAAACAAAGATGTAAGGATTTGAGCTTCATTGAAGTGAATGGAGAACTGAAAAAACCCTCAGCCTTTTTTGATCCAAGAATTAAAACCTTTAAAGTCATTTTCGAGTCAGATTTCTTCCCTCCACCTCTTTACACCGGCACATCGCAGATGCTTCAAAGCCTAACGGATCTTGGCTTACTAAACAAAGAAGTAGATGTGTCACCGGAGCACTTCTTGCATGCTGCAACACTGATTGACAAAGCGCATGTTGACTCTCATACTGAGGCTCTTAATAGAGCTCAGGTGCTCTTGAAGATGCTGGATACTAATGATCTGTTTAAATTTTCCCCTGAGCAGCCTCATTGCATCAACATGCTAAAATGGATCCCATGTACTAAGCCTGGTAATGATAAAACGTACGGCAATGACACATCTCAGAGAAGTTGTTTCTTCTGCCCTGATGAAACAAGACATTCTGATTATGAGGACATTGTTGAGCATGTAATGCCTCTGGGTACTTTCAGTGACAGAGTTAGCAGCCAACTTGGTCTCAAACGCCTACCCCCACCTGAAAAAGTGATAGAGAATTTGTCTGCTCTGACATCAAAAGCACAGAAAATGACTGATCCTAACACAAATGTGGATTTTAAAAGAAAGCTGCATAGCATTTACAAACACATGCAAGACCACATAACTGAATTTTCACGGAAGATGAAAAAGGATACACACTGGCTGTGGAGCAACGACCAGTTTGTATCACCACAGGATCTGGTTCTAGACTACCCACGAAATCTTGATCTGAGTTCTTATATTAGGAAGGTTCCAAATGAATTTTTGCCATACAAGAATTTGCTTCAGGAGTTTGGACTAAAAACATTGCTTTCAGATCAAGAAATTGTTGGCATTCTACATTCTATCCAGAAAACCATTGAAGAAACCCAACAGCCTTTTGCAAGTTCCTCTGAGGTAAAAGTGTCAATAGAGATTCTTAAGTGGCTGTGGAAAGAGAAGAAGACGGTTCAGGATGATACCCCAGTGCCAGTTCTCATTCAGGGTGAACAACATACCCTTAAACCACTGTCAACAGCAGTCTTCTGTGATGTGAGCAAAAGTGGGTTGAAAGAGATCAAGTACAGCCAGGAGGAAGTTCATGTTGTACATGAAGATATCACAAAAGCAGCTGCTGAATGGTTTAACATCAGATTTCTTAGTACCTACATTCTCGATCCAGAGTTAGTGGGAATAGAACAGTTTGGACAATCTGAACCGATAACGACGAGGATTAAGAACATCCTTAAGGAGTATGATGAAGAAAGAGACATCTTCAAAGAGATCATTCAAAATGCAGAGGATGCTGGGGCAGAAGCCTGCAAGTTCATGGTGGATTTACGAGTGCACAAAGACTCCCCTGAAAGTCTCATTGACCCTGACATGGCCCTTTGTCAGGGACCTTGCCTTTGGGCATTTAATAATGAGCAATTCACAGCTGAGGATTGGAAGAATATTGTCAGAGTTGGCTCTGCGTCAAAAGAAAACAAAGTGGAAAAAATTGGAAAGTTTGGACTTGGATTTAATACTGTGTATCATGTAACAGATGTTCCTTCTATCCTGAGTGGCAACAGTCTTCTCATACTTGATCCAAATGTAACCCACCTCACGAAACACATCAAACATAAAACAAATCCTGGACTCAAGCTGGATCTCTCAAAGAAACACCTTTTCCATTGCTTTCCTGGTCAGTTTGCACCATATGAACGCATCTTTGATTGCAATTTCAGAAGCCAAAGTCCCCCTGAACCATATCCAGGTACTCTGATCAAACTACCTTTTCGAACTGAAGAAGAGGCTATCATGTCAGAAATAAGTGAAAAAGTGTTTAACAAACAACAAATCATCACTTTTCAACAGCACTTTACAAACAATTCACAAACGCACCTGCTTTTTTTGAAGAACATCAATATGTTATCTTTACAAAGTATCTCAAACAATGCATCAACCCCGCCAAGAGATAACGAAATAGAAACAGTCTTCAATGTCTCCAAAACCACTGAGAGTACAATCAGGATTCCTGATGAATCAAGCGTGTCCAAGCAGCAGCAAGCTGAGAAAGTATTAATGAAACTTGATGGGAAATGTAAAGAGGTCATTCACTGCTGCACAGTCAACATTGTCCAAATAACTAGTCAGCAATCTGGTGAAACTGAAGTCCAGTCCTGGCTCCTTTACAACTGCTTTGGGACACATAAGTCCTTGCAAATGGCCCTTCAAGAAAACAAGCAAGCCAAGTTCTCTTTGCCGATCGGGGGGATTGCTGTGCCTTTGCAAAAGAATCCAGCAACTGGGAAGCTGGCCCCACTACAAACAGATCTTGTAGGACAGGCATTTTGCTTCCTTCCTCTGTCCATTCACACTGGTCTTCCAGTCAATGTAAATGGAACATTTGCTGTGACAAGCAACCGCAAAGGTCTGTGGGAGAGTGGTGTGAAACATGAGTGGAACAAAGCCCTTCTTGAGGATCCTGTAGTGACAGCATATATTTCTGCACTTTTGGCACTAAAGAAAATGTCTGAAAACAAGCAACTGGAAACATATTGTTATCATACCTTTTGGCCTGACAGAGAGAAAGTGAGTGACACTTTCAAGCCCTTGGTTGATGCATTGTACTCCGCCATAGCTCAGCATACCATTGGCCCAGAGCTCTTTAGTGATGGAGAACATTGGTGCTCAATGAACAGTGCCATATTTCTACACAAGAGTATCGAAGAGGATAAAGACATCAGTGAACTTGCAGTGCAAGTGTGCAAGACACATGTCAAAGCACCCAACCATGTTGTTTCTCTTCCACTGTGGTTGAGAAATAGCTTCAAACGGTCTGGCCTAGAGGAGGCCTTGCTGAATAGAACATGGAACTGGGACACGTTTTACCAAGAGGCTGTGTTCAACAACCTTGACACCATGGACCCTAAGAGTAGAGATACTCTTGTGCTGCATGCGATCGACCTTAATATCAAAGAACTTGACGAACTTCTGGTCTGCTATCCATGCATCCCCACAACAGGCGGACAGCTCCAGCATATCAGGAAACTTGTGAATCCATCGGGCAAAGTGGCCTGTCTCTTTGAACCAGAAGACGGACGCTTACTCTGTGGTACCAAAAATGACTTTTGCTCCCCCAAAAGGATTAAACGCTTGTTGGAACTTGGAATGGCAAATGATCATCTCCCATTGGAAGAAATCACAGAGAAAGCACGCACAATTCCCCAGACCTGGAGCTTTGACAAAAAGAAAGCATGTGGTCATTTAAATTGCCTGCTTGAACTTATGAAGAATCACATGAGTGATGAAGGCTCTGTCCACTGGGAAACACTGAGGATGACTGAATTTCTCCCAGCATTTTCCCCTGGTGATACAAAAATGGAAAGAAATGTCACATTTAGAAGGCCAACGGATATTTTTGGTGAAACACACTCCCCACTTGTTAACATGACACAACACGTGCTGGATCATACCAATCTGGAAATATGCAACACTGATCCACTCCTGCAAGTTTTGGGAGTTCAAGTCAATCCAGGGCCTGACGAAGTGCTCCAACAACTGAAAGAAGCATGTGAGCAATCTCAATCTATTGATACATCCATGCTTCACAAAATAGCAAGTGAATGCTATAAGTTTCTTGATCAGTGGCTCAGTGGTTTTGGGGATACCACTTTTGTTTCAGAGAGGGCAAATTCATTCCCGTTCATTCTTGTTGGCAGTACATTTATAAATGTAAAATGTGTTGCGGAAAGTGAGCAATTTGAAGCAAAACCCTATCTCTATGTACTTCCAACTGCCTTTAGGGGTTTTGGGAGGCTCTGGGAAAATGTAGGAGTTGAAAAATCATTTACAACAAGTCAGCGTCTAACTGTGCTGCAGGAAATACACTCTGAACATGGCAACAAGACCCTGCCAAAGAAAGACCTTTTGATTTGTCTCACAATTCTCAGAGGAATATATGAGACCAAAGATAAAACAACCAACTGTCTGATACCCAATGTACATGATGTTCTACAACCTGCAGGTGAGATGTTTTTCAATGACAGCCCATGGATGGCAGTTGATCCAGGTGTGACATTATGTCACAAGGACATCCAACGTGCTATGGCTTGTCACTTTGGAATCAAAACTACAAGGCATCATACCCTGCAAAACTATACAGTTGAGAACATTTCACCATTTGCTTTTCATTTTGAACAGCAGGAACAACTAACTGTTCGAATTAAAAACATAATTTCAGCATATCCATCAAAGAAAGATATCCTTAAAGAGCTCATCCAAAATGCTGATGATGCAGAGGCAACTGAAATTCACTTTGTTTGGGACAAACGACAGCATGGCACAGAAAAAACATTTGGAAAGAAATGGAACAAACTGCAGGGTCCAGCACTGTGTGTTTTCAACAACAAAGTGTTTTCTGATGATGACCTGAAGGGCATTCAACAGCTGGGAGAAGGAGGAAAGCGCAACTCTCCAGGGAAGACAGGGAAATACGGAGTAGGATTCAACTCTGTTTACCATCTGACTGACTGCCCCTCCATCCTCACTGGAGATGAACTACTCTGCATTTCTGATCCCAATCAAAAATTCATTGATAGTCATTCAGACAAACCACCAGCTGGAACTGGCTATAAACTAGCTGACACTTTTAAGAACATGTACATGGATGTCTACAAATCCTTTCTTCCAGACAAATTTCCCCTTAAAGATGGCACCATGTTCAGATTACCCTTAAGAATCGGTACCATGGCAAACAGCTCTAAAATATCACAGCAGGGAGTCACAGACCATGACATGAACGAACTTTGCTCTGCACTCTCTGAAGATCCTGAAGGACTGATTCTGTTTCTGAAAAACATCTGCAAAATAGAGGTCCATGAAATCAATGAACATTCAGGGAATCTCAAAACAATCTTTATGGTTGAAAAATGCCTACCACAGGAAAGCAGAGTAAGTAAAGATGCTTTTGTTAAGCTTCAACAAAATGCGCTGCAATCTGACAAACCAATCACGCCAGACAAGGCTATATACGGTGCACACATTTCAACCTCCGATAAAAGACTAAGTAAATGGATCATTGCAGAACAATTTGGGACATTCAAAAACAGTGGCAAAGGAGACCTAACACTTCCAAAAAAACTTCCTCAAGCAGCAATAGCGGCACGTGTGAGCTCAAAGTTATCTGTTAAAGCCCCACCTAGCAACATCTGTTTTATTGGACAAGCCTTTTGTTCACTTCCTTTGCCAGGAACAACTGGACTGCCAGTGCATGTCAATGCAAACTTTGAGGTAGATTCTGCCAGGAGAGGCCTTTGGAAAGAAGATGGGCAAAGTCTCAAATCTAACTGGAATGAATCTTTGAAACAGAATGTCATTGCTCCACTTTATGCTGATCTCCTTCAGTACATCTGCCACCACTTTGCAAAAAAGAATATCACTCGTGCAAGTCTTGAGTCATTCTACGTGGGCTTTTGGCCAAACGTGTCCGAACATGTTGGCCAGGATTGGCATGAAATGATACATGAGGTTTACAGATCAATCAAAGAAAAAGGTCTTGATCTGATTCCAGTTTTGAGGAGTTCAAAATGCAATATTGCAGGCAGAGAATTGAAGACATATTCTTTTGACTGGTGTAATGTCAGAGAAAAGGAAAACGCTAAGGCACCTTATCTCACACACTGGGAAAAAGACAGGATAATGCCAATATTGGAAGATCTTGGAATGACATTGGTACCTTCTTTCATGCAAAATGTTTGGAAAAGTTTCAGATCTGCAGGCATCGCCGTAAGAGATGTGAATCCTTCAAGTGTGCAGACTTTCCTCAGAGAAATAACCGTCAATGACCCAACCGAAACAGAAGAGGATTTACCCCTGCCCATAACTGCCACCTTGATCAGAGATGGAAAAAGATGTTCTGAGCTCTTGAGTTTCTGCTTAAAAGACTTTAAAAAGACAGCAAAAGACAACTCCATTACACTCAATGGACTTCCACTTCTTCTCACAAGTGATAAAGTTTTGAGAGTGTTTGACTCCAAATCTCCCAAGCTGATATCGAGTTATGAGAGTCTGTTCTTTGCCTACAAGGAACAATTTGCAGACTTTCAGACAAACGGAGAGAACATTAATGCTCTACAAACTTTAAACCTTGTCAAAAGATTGACAGTTCCCTGTGCAACTAAATATCTGAAGCCGTTAATTCAGCAACTTCTTCAGAGCTGTGAAGTTGATCCACAAAGTGGTCTTCATGTCCCACATGAGACAATGTTGAAGTGGTTGAAATTACTTTGGAATTTCTTAACAAGTGAAATTAAACCTGCAACATCTAATGGTGATGAAGAAAGCCTGACATTAAGTGATGTCAGGCAGCTCTTCAGCGACTGCTGCATTTTACCTGTTGTGTGTCCAAGGTTGAACAACAAACACTTCCTGAAAACAATGAAAGACATGCCGAATGTGCTTAAGAGCACCTCTGGAGAGGACATATCAGGCATCCTTTTTAAACTTGGTTTTATGAAGCTTGAAGGTATATTCTTCTTTGAGATACCTGTAGAACAACGTTTACTTCTATACTCTGAACTTATGGATGTGAATGATAAAAGCTCTGTGTTGGAGCAGCTCTACAACATAAACCACTCAGAGTTTTCCAAGCTTTCAATTGAGGAGTTGAAAGAGCTTCAGTGTGTCCTGCAGTCTGGAGTATCCAAGTCCAAAGACAAACAAGAATATCAAAGAAAGCTCAAATCTTTGCCAATATTTGAAACAATACATGGTGAACGAGTAAGGATTGATGGACCTAAAGAGGTATTTATCCTCAACAGCACATATTCAGAGACATTTCCGGATTTGTTCTCCCTATCTGACAGCAACAGCCTTTTTCTCCAAAACAGTACTGCAAACATCAGTCTAGCAGAAACATTGAAGATCCAAACCATGAATGATTTGAAATATTTCATGAAGTTTATTCTGCCTGTTGTACACACACTCAATGGGACGCAGAAGCTTCACTGTCTCAAACTCTTACTGACACCACAATTCATTCATTGTGAGTGTAGGGACACAATCATCTCCTCAATGAAGACAGTGAAATTGATTGCCAATTATCAAGGCACATTGGAGAAAGCATCATACTTCTTTGATGAGAGTGTTGAGCTGTACAAAAAAATGTTGCCCAAAGAGAGGTTTGTGCCTGAGAGATTTTGGACTGTCTTGTGTGAAAGGCTTCCTCTACCAGACCCAAAGAAGTTACTGAGAGACCTTGGAATGAAGCATGTTGTGTCAAAAGATGACATAATTAACTTTGCACACCAGTTAGAATCAAAAGCCAAAGGAAATGGTGACCTTAAAGATTTGGAACCAAAGTCATCCTTAATATTCAAAGCCGCCTTGAATATAAAGATTAAAGACAAGCACGAAAAGGAAATGTTTCTGGAGGAAATGGCTGACATCAAGTTCATTTTTCCTGTGAAAATTCAAAAAGAACTGCAAAATTACCACCAACCATTTGTGGCTGAGAGAACTGCTGTTAAAATCAGGGGGTCTTTGATAGACAGTGAAGCCCAGCATCAAGAACTGGTTTGGTCCTCAATGCCAATTATACATCTACCTTTTTATAAGTCAAAGGAAGTCGTGGAAAAGATGAATAAAGCTGGAGCTCATGAACAACCACCGCCAAACTATGTCATCAGTAACATGAGGAACATCTGTCAGTCGCCCTGTAAAGATCAAAAGTTGATCAAAACCCGTGCTAAGGTTTTTCGAAGTGCATATGCATACCTGCAAGTAAACACGTTTGAAGTCCAAACATTGGCTGGTCTTCCTGTGGTTTTGGTTGAAAAAGACATAGAACTTGCAAAGCCTGATGATACTTCTTTTTCACTCCCGTACGAGCGCGAGTTCAGACCGTATTTGTACAAAGTTTCTCCCAACGATGTCATGTTTTCAAAGTTCTTCAAGCAAATTGGTGTTAAGGACACACCTACAGCAGTGCAGTATTGTAATGTTCTGGGGGCTGTTTATGCTGATTCCTGCGAGAAACCCCATCTCAACCCAAACCAACTGAAAACTGTGAAACGTGCTGTTGAGCAGTTTTTCCTGTTAATCAAAACTCAAGGAAACCAGTCCCTTGTTGATGATTCAATGACTTTTTATCTTCCAGCAGTAGATGGTAAAGTATACCCATCCTGCAAACTCTACTACAATGATACAGTGTTTGAGAGCAAAAGGTTGGAAAAAGCGCTTGACAATAAGTTTCTGTTACTTGAGAAACTTAGTGAGTGTCACTTAGGCGATGACATGTATGAGCATCACCGATTGCTGCGATTACTGCCTCAAACTTTTAAGCCGAATATGCTGTCTCAATTCACTGAAGAGAAAGTAGTGGAATCAGACATGCAGCGTTGTGAACTTGGTGCTGACTGTGAATTTAGTGGATTGTTTGACAGACATTTGTCCTCAGAAGCATTTATACATGGACTAATTTGTCTTATCAGAGACCAGTCCAAGGGGGAAATAACACAAGAAGATGCTACTGAGATGTGCAAGAAGACTTTTGGCAGCATTCAGATTGTCTGCTGCAAAAGTCTAAAAACTGAGCTTTGGGTGAATAAACAGCCACTACACCAGACTGCCTCTCAAACCGATGTTTTTGTCAAACAAGAGCAACAAGGTTGCATATTTTACTTGAAACACAACAACGACATAATTCATAAGGTGATAAGTGACATCAATATGACATTGACAATGGAGATTAATGTTCTTTTAGGTAACATATTTGGATCGAAACACCTAATGGTCCTCGTACACCTTCTCACGTGTGACAATATGCAAGATGTTCTGAAAACTCTTGCTAAGAATGGGATCCTGGACAGTGCTGAAACTCAAAGCATTTTCCACAATCAACCAGCCCCTGGAACAGAAATCCCACTGGAATGGCATGATTCCTTAGACATGAACATCCTCAATAACTTTGAAGAGGGTGAATATGTTGGCTACAGCACCAACAACAAGTATATCTATGCAGTTATTGTTGAAGAACTGCCTGGGCAGTCGGGACCATATTCACACAGATACAAAATAGAAATTGGAGAAGATGAGCCCATTGAAGTCAGTTGTCTGGACCTGTATCAGTTTAAACGACAAAAGAAACCAGAACCTAAAGGAAGTTCTGCTGCTTCTACATCTGCTGATACTTCTTGTACGGACATGGTCCCACTAGAAGGAGCTGTGCCACATTCTTCCAAACCATCAACTACAAGTTCCTCTTCTACGAGATCCTCACCAGCCTCTCTTGAAGAAGCTAAAATGGAAATTGACAAATGTTTAAAAGAGATTTGGACTCTTCCTGAGGAGGAAAAGCATAAAGCCATCAAACGACTTTACCTTAGATGGCATCCTGACAAAAACCTTGACTGCATAGATCTTGCCACTGAGGCATTCAAATACCTGCATAATCAAATTGCTGAGCTCAGCAAAGGGAAGGGCAAAGGCCAAAATACAGGCTCATCTTATTCAAGCGGAAGATCAGACTTCAGGAACTTCTATGATGAATGGAATCAGGAGGCCAGGCATCACAGAAATGCTAGAGACAGATTCTCCAGAAGCAACCGTTCCTACAATTTTTGGGAACATAATAAAAATGTCCCAAGGCCAAACAAAGAAGAGGCCCAACGCTGGAGAAGACAAGCTCGCTGTGATCTCGACGCAGCCTACAAAGATGTTAGTGGGGCGAGCACAGAGTGGTGTCTGTTCAAAGTCCATCAAGCAGTGGAAAAGTCTCTCACAGCTGCAAAGTATAATAGAGATGGTCAGCATCCCACCAGCAGCTCCATTTTATCCCTTGCCGCACAAGTTTCCCTCTACAACCTCAAACTGAGAGTTCTTCCTCAAATAGTGAGGAATCTGAAGGCGTTGGGAGTGGACGACAAAAAGACTCAGTATCCAAACTGCCATCCATTTCCCCATATTCCAAATGAGCAGTTCAAACCAGAGAATGAGTTGTTGGCACTGGAGAGCGCATCTGAGCTTCTGAGTTTAGTCGAGGAATATTTAAATTAGGGATTCAAGACAAACTGACACGTCGTGTTGGTAGGGACAATTTAGGTTTGTTTGACATGTAAAATGGCATTAGCCATATTCTTATATTAAAACATTACTCTGAAGAAAATAATAGTACCATTTGTTGAAAAGAACATATATCAGTCAAAAGGCTGACATAAAATATGTGTGTAATGTAGGGACTTTCTGAAGCCAATGAAAGGCCATTGTAATGTAAATATGATATTTTGAGTATTGTTGAAGAGTTTTGACTACTCACTCAGGACCCATAGGCCCTCTATTATTTTGTTATGGAAATTAAACCAAGGAAGTTATATTTATACAAAGTTGTCGTTTATGACCACTCACTTGGGATCACTTTAAACTCTGTATTACTTTTACTTTTTTTATTATTGTTCTACAAATGGACAACTACTCAAAGTGAGGACCAATTTATTGTCTGTATGACTTTTTATGAAAATATCAAGATTTTCTTTGAAATGTTGTAAACGGTTAAAACTCACTGAGGTCCAATATAAAATCTGTATGACTTTTCTTTTTACTTTATTATCATTTATACCTATCCATTAGGTCCAATATAATCTCTGTTTTACTTATATATTATTACTTTATTTTAAATACTTTCTAAAAATGCAATCATAATTTTTTTTTCTTCAGCATTGTTATAAACATTTACAATTTCTAACTGTGACAACCAATATAATATATGTATGACTGTTGTAAAAATATCAATATATTTTTTGCATGTTGTTAACCTTTACATTGAGGACCAAAATCATCGTTGTATGACTTTTTCCTCACAGTTTTCTAAACACTGAGTTTCACTGAGTTATCAATAAGTCAAAGAAACAATGGCATAACTAGAAATATATGAATTATTGAATGTGATGTTCTGTTATCATTTATTACTACTTACTCAGGGTCAATATAATCCCTGTTCCACTTTTTTTGGAAAGTACAAATGCCACATAATTGAGTTTCT